ATAAATGTAACAAGCTTCCAGAGCATGTATTGGGAGTTGTTATTGATTTAACTTCTAGACCGGTAAGGGTAGGCATTAGTCGTGTAAGTTTATCGCGGGAGATGGGGATGATCTTCCCCCGATGGATGGCGAAATCCGGCTCCGACCTACACGTCAGCATGCAGGGTTTTCCCCAACTCTCACCAGCGGAGCACCGCCCCAACCGGGACAAACCCGAAACACCTGACTGGTCTCCCGGCTAGTGGGGTTGTGTAGTGCGTGTATGTAAGTAAGGAATGGGGATATGACAAGGAAGAAGAAGAGATAGCACGCGGGTCTGTAGCCCGTTTGTTAGGGTACTGCTCCGGCGTTCGCCTGGTGTTGAGCGAAGAAACCACAGAAACTGCTGATCAGAACAGCCGGTGACTAGGTTTCAGGGCTGAATTCGATCTAACTAGTATAGAAAATCATGTACTTAAGCCGGTGTATGAGGGGGGGATAAAAAGAGATCATTTTTGCAGTGAGTATGTGGAGGGAAATCTGATATAACACAGTTCCATGACAGACGCTAAAACAACATGCTCTTGGTTGGTGAAAAACTCGTCCTGCACTGAAGTTTGACAAGGCATACGAATTCTCATAGGACGTCCTATTCCTTTGAAATGACCAAATTCAGTTTTCTGTCTCCTTTGTTCATCTTAAACTGCCAGAACGACCACCGTCCTTACCTGGCATGTGTTTCATTAAATTTGAGTTGTCAAAGTTAAAAACTACCGAAAAAGAAAAGAAGGCCCCCCTAGGTACCTAATTGGTCACCACTAGAGCAAGATGTATCAGTTGCTTAACTTCGTAATACGAGATTTCGCTGGCAAAAAGTGATCATCTTCTACACCCCTAAGTGCTGTAGCAGTGTGTGACATAATATTAAAAGTGACTGGCGGTATGTTTTGGTGCAGTCTGCGACGAGTGCAACCGCGAATGGGAGGGCGACTGCCCCGAGCACGGCCCGCTCCTGCTGCTGGCCGACGCGCCCGTGCCGCCGTCCGCCGCGCACTCCGAGGAGCGCGCCGTCCTCACGGCGCCGCCCGAGCTGTCGGTGGCGGCGTCCGGCATCCCGCAGGGCGGGCGCGGGGTGTGGGCGCGCGTCGCGCTGCCCCGGGCGCTGCGCATGGGGCCCTACCAGGGCGTGCGCTCGCGCCGAGAGAACGACGACGGCTACAGCTGGGAGGTACCCGCGCCCCAGCTACTTGACGACTTGCGATGCACTCGAGTTCGCACTTTTACAAATTTTACTGCACTAATGATGTTCAATCAGTTAATTATTTAAATTATTTGATCATTTCCATTATACGTAAACCAGTTCACTAGACGAAAGACTCGGTTCCCTTGCTTATTAGGAATGGCTATTTTTTGTCGAGGAAAATTTATATTATTTTGAGAAATATATACATTAGCACTTCACAATCACTTCGCAATATTTTATTGATTTCACGATTTATAACACCATGGGCGCATTTAATGCAAATCACTTCAAAATATTACCACTGATTTTATGGTTTATAACATTGAAGGTGATTTTTATGCAAAAAACCTATATCATTTGGCCACCTACCACTCCAAGAGGAGCTACAAAAAGATGGGAGGAAATGAATTAAAGTATCTATGACTACTTTGATATATTTATGGCATTTTTCTGTGCGTGTTATTTGCATGATATTAATTGAACACGGAAACGTTTTGTGATACAATTTTCTCATTGTGTCGGCGTGGAATTGCGTGTTTTGGATGTGTTTTCGTTTGTGTAAGTCTTTAAAGTTGGTTTGTATTAAATGGTGAGAAAAACAATTTCTACAACACAGCGCAAAAATATATAATCCGAATCAGTAGGCGAGTTACTTCTTTAAATGTCTATGTATTTATTAATTCTTTTCAAAAAATATTCTCTTAGAAATGAGGGTGGTACGAGTATATAAAGCAGCGTGAAATACGTTGATTATAAAATTGCGTTGGTAATAAAATTAGATTTCTAGCGCTAAAAGTACGAATAATTAGTTCAGCGGATCAAAGGAATAGTGGCCAATATAAACTTACGATTTATCTTTAAATTTTCAAGTATTTTCCGTAGAATTGTTTGAATTGCGAATCTGCGGGGCCATGGAGGACAACAAACCCCAATGCATTATTATTACTTCCTCGCCCTTAAGACAGTTCTTCTTGAGAAGAGAAAGTTATGTAATACTGCCGGGAAAAGTTGCGTATTTTTAAAGTAGTAGAAGTAATACTTTCAAAGTAGTAGAATTTTTTTCTAAAACCAGTGACAGTGAAAGCAGCCATGACTGAGGTGCACCGTAAACCTAAGATCAACAGAAATATTAAATGGTATTGCTGAATACCATTTCGCCGTCATTATCCACCAATAAAGCATTAATAAATTGGTCATAAAGTAATAGTATTAATTATTGTTAAAATGCAATAAAATCGTTTTGTGTAAAATTAATGTTTAAATGTACCGCATAAATACTGATTGACTTGTATCACCCCGTTCATCTGGTCACATTGTAGAGAACCGATTACTTTGAGGTGAACGAAATTTTTCGTCTCAAAGGAACCGAATCTTCCGTTTTGAAGTGAACTGATGTCTACCTCTTAATTCAAATCCCTTGTTTCTGGAAAGAAAGTAACAACTGTTACAGATGTGGAGGGTTTTCAGCTGTAATACTGAACACTAGATAAAACTGGTGCTAAAACAGCACATACATTCACCCGTAATTGAAAAGTATTAGTACAATAGTACTTGAAATTTTCATTTAAAAAAATAAATTTTCAAAATCATTTCTTTATATTTTCTCCTCGTATGTATCATGGAGTAGTAAAAAAATCGTGCTAGTTGCATTTTTGGCCAGGACTCAACATTTCAAAACTACTAAATTGAAAACAGAGATTTTTGCCTTAAACAAAATCTATTCTAAAAATCAACTCGCTTCAAAGAATGGTGGAGGAATCATTTTTGTTGATCTCTATGAATTTTCGAAAATTACTTGTTGGAAATATGGAATGTTTAACCTCGCCTCTAGTTAGTACGTCAGAAGTGCTTGGTGTAGAGGTATTCACTGCAAATTAGCTAGGAGGACCTGTCATAAAGTGTCGATGTGGAAAAAAACTTAACTGATTGCAAACATTTTTGCAGATTTATGTTGTAATATAATATTTCAAATAAGTTGCAAATAGTGCGTTCAAGTATGTGCTGTTGTAGCATCACTTGTTTTTTATTTCAGTTTTTCGTACAATGGCCTTCAACTTCTCTTACAATGCCCATCTGTTCAGATCCGCAAAGGGGGCCGCGTGGACCACTACGTGGACGCCGGCGACACGCGCGTGGCCAACTGGATGCGCTTCGTCAACTGCGCGCGCCACGAGCAGGAGCAGAACGTGGTGGCCTTCCAGTTCCGCGGCGCCATCTTCTACCGCACAGTGCGCGCGCTGGCGGCCCACGAGGAGCTGCTGGTGTGGTACGGCGACGCGTTCGCCCTGCAGCTGGGCATCTCGCCCAAGGACTTCCGCGCGCCGCTGCTGCGCCCTCTGCCTAGTAAGACAACGCTCTTTCTTTTTTTTTTTTCAAACACTGCGCTGACGTTTTATTTATTTGTTTATTTGATATCGCGACGTATTCACAGGGCTTCAAAAATTAGATGCGAAATTCTCAGAATTGGACTCTGAGAATATATTTAAAAGTTTTGATTGTAAAACACTTTCGAGATGTAAACATGGGAACATTTTAGTTTAAGGGTTTTTAGTGGATTAAATAAAAATGACAAGATAAGGGAGCACGTAGAGGGATAAATTGAATTATTTTACGATCACACTGCACGCACAAGGGATGAAACGCTGAAGGAGGAAAAGGAGGAAGGAGCCAAACGTTATAATATCACCAACAATACAATTTTGAGAGGTACCGTCTTTTATGCCTGAGCCCTTCATTTCAGTAACAACTTTGTTTCGAATAAAAGATCTATCCATTAAGGCACGTGTCGCCTTTATACTCGTAATATTTCATTTAGAGATCTCAGTGCTAATTTTCAGTTTGCATGGGAGCTCCCTAAAGCTTGCAGGTTATATTAGAAAACTGGAAATTCAGATGAAGTGTTGATTTTCAGGAAATTCAGATGAAAGAAGCTGCCGACCATCCAACTCTCCGTCCGTGAACACTAGTGCTTAAACCACCCGCATAGTTTTCTCGGAAACCTGTAATCCTCGAATCGATCTGGGCAAAAGAATGCGTGCCGAATTTGGAACAGATATTACATTTTAGGGAATCTTCATATGAAACAATTCGCACGCGGGCTGCGTTGTAGGAATAGTCGTTACTCAGCGGCAGGGGAAATGGCTGTGGAAGGGGAGTGCGGGGTGATTGTATGTCTAAAAGCCATTGGCTCCGAAGCGCATGACTTCCCACCACAAGTGACCCTTTTCCCACAAAGACGCCAGTTGAGCAGACCTGCTCTAGATCCCACGAGGGTTGGGGCATAAGACATGGCAACTTCTTTTTGTGAGAATACGAGCACTAGTGGAAAATATGAACTATTCACATGAAAGGAACTAACTAAGGTGCGAACTAAGTGCATGGATATTTAACGACTCACCGAAATTGTTTCTCATATTTATTTGAAATGACAATACTGATTTCATCATCTATTGAATGTTATAGTAATGTTAATATTTTCTCTATTAATATCACATCAGCATATCACAAATTCATTTTTAATGATAGTAATTTAAGTTTTCTTTTAGAGTGATTAATAGTTATATGTTCCACATTCTTAAAATTAAATCAAAGGATTATGCTTACAGAAAAATAATAACTTTAGATACCAAACACATTTAATGATCTGAACTTTAATTTTGTTTCAGGAGAAGCCTTTCCCTGTCGGCATTGCCCACTCTCCTTTTCCAGTCCACTGTATCTCGAGGCCCACACACGGCGTTGCAGATGTCGCTTTACTACACGAAAGGATAGTGTTAGGGGAAATCAAAACATCAACGTACCATCTGCAAGTACCTCTGCGAGAGAGGGTCCATATCGACCTGAAGACGGTACAGCGTTCAAAAACTTGAGTATTCATACCCCACTCAAAAGGTCTCTCTCCAGACAGCGACCCTATCGCTGTGAGAAGTGCGGCGCAGCGTTCACATGCTCTAGTGATCTCATTAAACACAAACGGACTCACTCGGGGGAGCGACCGTTTCGCTGTGAGAGTTGCGCGCAGCGTTTCACTGTCGTCTGGTCATCTCACTGCCACAAACGAACTCACTCGGGGAGCCCCGACCGTTTCGCCCTCAGATGTGAGGAGTGCGGCGCAGCGTTCAAGGAGTCTGCGTCATCCTCACTAAAACACAAAACGGACTCACTCGGGGGAGCGACGCCTATCGCTGTGAGGAGTTGGGCGCAGCGTTTCACTCGTCTGGTCATCTGCACCTGCACACACAACGAACTCCTCGGGAGCGACCGTTTCGCTGTGAGAGTGCGGCGGCAGCTTTTACTGTATCTTGTATCTCACTGCCCACAACGGACTCATCGGGGGAGCGACCCTATCGCTGGTGAGGAGTGCGGCGCAGGCGTTCACTAGGTTCTATGATTCTCACTACACACAAACGGACTCACTCGGGTCGACGTTCTCCTATCGCTGTGAGGAGTGCGGCCAGCGTTTCACATGCTCTTAGTGATCTCATTAAACACAAACGACTCACTCGGGGAGCGACCCTATCGCTGTGAGGAGTGCGGCGAAGCGTTCACTACTTCTAAGCAATTCACTAGACACAAGGGGCACGCACTTGGGAAATAAATTAATATGTAATGATGTGAGCAAGAGGTGGTAAATCAATGTACGCGTATGAAGTAAAACACAAACGGATCCATTTGGAAGCGTGACTTATTATTTTGAACTATTTCTGGAAATATCCTTGTGGGTAATGCAAGAAAGATAATGCTTACACTCATACAAACCGCATTTAAATAATTGCTTGAGGAGCTGACATCCCGGTTTTCTTTATTCAATAATTAATATTTTATAAATTGTTCGCAGTATTGTTCGGCTGAAAGGTTTCATGTAGTTCATTGTGAATGATGTTCACGTACGAAAAATTTTATATCCACA